CTGAGGCTCAGGCCTGGGCTATAAAAATGAGAAAGACAGTTCTTGCCCTCAAAGAGCATATGCCAAGGATGCCATAAATGGATACACATTTTAACAGAGGAGGAAATTGTATTAAAACTATAATGTTCAATATATACAAGTAACAGAATCGGAGAAGTAAAATGTGATGTAAGTATTGCAATTTTAACATAGTTTTTCCTTTTCTTAAAGTGTGATACAGTTTTTTGACAGCCTATGTACTGTGCCGTACAGCGTGGTCGCTGACAGCAGCATCAGGCTATGTAAAATACAATTAATGAGAATTAAATTTCAGTTCCTCCATCACATTAGCCACAGTTGAAGAGTTTAATGGGGGCATGGTGGCTAGTGGCTACCACACAGGACGGCAGAGACGGAGAGGATTTTGGCTGTTGTGGGGAATTCTATTGGGTAGCACCGCTATGGAAGGAAATGTCAGGAAAGCTAAACCATAATACGGGCGAAGGTGATAACACAGGTGCAAATTAATTGCTAAGGGGTCAGAGGGGTGGTTCAGGGTCAGCTCCCCACGTGATTTTAAGTCCTCTTGAGGACAACGACTTTGGCTCCTGGCACTTAACACAATATCTGACTCACAGATGCTCATCCCGTATTTATAAAAAGAAAATAAACGACCCATGGCAGTAATGGCTTTTTCACTAATCTTTCAAGAATAGGGAGTTGCAGAAAATAATATGAGTGTTATTCATAGGTCTACAGCCCAATTTTGGAAAATGTTAACATTTTGCTATATGTCTTTCAGATCTTGTATTTGTTTTAGGAAATATGTAAATTATAGATTATTTGAAGCACCTGTATTCTCTGTCAATTTCTCTGAGTACCCTACATTCAGTATCCTAAATTTGGTGCTTATCAATCCCATCCATGGTTTACGCCCTTCTTGAATAATATTGCATCTGTAAACACCACAGGTGGTCGTTTGGCATGTTTTTAAATGTAATACAAAAGGTACCATACCAGACACATCCTTCTGCAAGTTGACTTTTAAAATTTTGCTTAACATCATATTTTAAAAATGTATTCAGGTTGAAACATGGAACTCTCATGACATTATTGTAATTGTTACAAAGCAGTGGTCCCAACTTTTTGGCACCAAGGACTGGTTTCATGGAAGACAATTTTTCCACAGTCCTGGTGGGGGTGGTTTCGGGATGATTCAAGTGCATTACATCTCCACCTCAGATCATCAGCCATTAGATTTTCAAAGGAGAACCTAGACCCCTAACACACACAGCTGACAGCAGGGTTCGTGCTCCTGTGAGAATCCAGCGCCTGCTGCTCTGACAGGAGGAGAGCTCAGAGGTGATTTGAGTGTCAGGGAGTGGCTGTCAACACAGATGAAGCTTCACTTACTGGCCCCCTGGTTCCTAACAGGCCATAGACCAGTACAAGGCCACAGCACTGAGTTGGGGACGGCAGCTATAAAATATTCTATCATATTAAATACACCATAATTTATCTATTCTACTTTTGATGGAAATTGGCCCTGTTTCCAGTTTTTGTAATTACCAATAAAGATGCAATGAACATTCTTGTAAGTGTTCTTTTATGAAAACTTTCAAAGTTTATTCCTGGAAGTAGTATGGATAGTTCTGAGGTTAGGTGGATCTTCAAATATTCTAAATTTTGGTGAATTGATTTCCATGAGGATTAACAAATTTATATCTCCATCAGCAGATGTTCTCATTGGATGAGAATGGATGTTCTCATTGTTCTATATTTTGGTCATCACTCGTTATCATCAGGCTTTGATTCTTTGCCAATCTGATAAAGTGAACTGATGCAGTGTAGTATTTCCTAGGATGTTAAAACATAAGAACAAGGCAAAACCCCCAAATGCTGACCCTGTCACAGTCCTGGCACTGGGGCAGGAGGGGAGTAACAGAGTTACTGGCTTTTCATGTTGTGATGAGGAAACTGGCACTTGTTCCAAAGTGGTGACTAACGTTCACGATAAGACAGTTTCACCATCCAAAACCTTCCTGCCACTGCTGGGGACAGGCCAGGAGACTCGTAAGTAGGATTTGGACGTCAGAACCCGCCAGCATGTTCGCAGTGTTGTTTTATAGTCTTCTGAAGATACACAGAATTTATTTTCTCATATGTCCCATTAAACGCATTCCAGGTCCCCTGGTTTTCCATTGCTTTGTCATAGGCCAATGTCTGGTGGAAGAAATTATCCAAGCTGCATAAATCAGATACATGTTGGTGGGAAGTCTTGGCAATTTGAAGGACTGTCGGCTTAACAAGAAGCACAGTAACAAGTGTAGACTACATATTGAAATATTTGCTCACGGCAAATTCATGTAGATACTTTAAATGGTTGAAGCACAGAAAATAATCCTATAATTTAGGAACATATGACTATTTCATCTTGCAGAGATTTGCCAGTATGATTCTAGCTAATACCAAGGAACTGAAATGAACCTATTTACAAGGGCTTTAGAGCCTGGGGCAGTGGGAAACACCCATGGCTCCACTTCCCCAAAGTGGATCTTTGATGGAAATAAAGTATTTCTTAGCAACCTTTCATTATGGCTGGCATACTCATGGGAAATTTGAGATAATACCAATTCTACCTCTTTCAAATAGGATTTGGAGATCAGAACACCTATCACAGTTATTAATCTGTGAAATCCATCTCAGAGTAATAACTTGAATTTTTTTAAGGGATACGAGATCTGAGAATGTTTTCCTTGCTGCTTCATGTGAACCAGACAGTGTGACAGAGAAAGCTGATCGGTTGGACTCTGAGAAGCCAACGGAGACCTGCAGACATAACTGAGATGAAAGCGCAGAGGAGCTCACTGGGCTCCTTTTACTAATCTGAATCCAGCCCTTGGTTTTCATTTTCAGAAAGGAAGATTTATGTCACCTATGGTGTTCTTTCCTAAAACTTATTTGTGGATAGCAGCATTTAGAAAAATTATATCTTCTTAAAATAATCAGCCCTGCTCCTTCAAAAAGCCCAGCTGCCAACTTCCTCCAGGACTTTTAGAAGTTGCGACAAAAAGACTGTTTCCATGCGAGAGCTCATGATTGTAAAGCTAATGGGCATTTTTCTCAGGAGAAAAATGTATTTATAGTTCCTTTAGTGAAGCATGCGACCTAGGTGTTACACCTCTAAATTAAAGGCTAAAAATGTACAGTTAAATCAGGCTCAGATCTTTTTCTTTCCCCTGCCATTCAGCAATTTGTTTATCTTCTCTGTGTCTTTAAGTCCTCATCTGTATAATAGGGGAAAGTTGCTATGAGGACTGTTTGAGATTCATTAATTCAGCAAATACTCATTAAATGCCTCTGATTTGCCAACTTGTATCCAAGCTCCAGCCCAGTCCCCTCTCCCTCGGAGGTCAGAGTTCCAGCTCTGCAGCTCCCTCTTTCTATGTTTCTGAAAGTTAATAATCTCAGCCTGTTGCTTCTGTCCCCACCCTTAGGGGGGCAGCTGCTTCCTGCAGTTGCTACCTGCACCTTTTAGCCTTCTCTTTCCACCTTTGCAGTTAGCAGCCTTCTACCTAATTAACAATTCTCTATTCAAACAACTGACCTGGCTTCTTTTTTCCAGCACAACTTTTTTTTTTTTTGAGACAGAGTCTCACTCTGTCACCCTTGGTAAAGTGCTGTAGCATCAAACGTGTTAGCAACACTTAACTCTTGGCCTCAAGAGATCCTCTTGCTTCAGATAGCTGGGACTACAGGTGCTCACCTCAATGCCTGGCTAGTTTTTCTAATTTTAGTAGAGATGGGGTCTCTCTCTTGCTGAGGTTGGTTTTGAACTCTTGAACTCAAGCAACTCCCAGAGGGCTGGGATTACAGGTGTGAGCCACCACACCTGGCCATTCCAACAGGAGTTTTGACTCATGATGGGAGAATTCCATTTACTGAGAATAGGAAGACTGGAGAAGGAAGAATTAGAAGAATAAGGAATGCAGATTTTGCTGTGGTCATGACACTCTGAGATGCCTATTAGATGCACCAGAACAGATGCTGACAGTCAACTGCTAGACAGTCTGGAGACGAGGACGTGGGGGCAAATAGATGGTAAATAAAGTTACGGGGTAGGGGAAGGGTCATCAACAGACAAGGAGTGAGGGCCTAGGACCATGCCTGGGGATATGGCAACATTAGAGATGAAACCAAGAAGGTGTGACCAGGAACAAGAAAAAAATAAGAAGTATGTAGGATCTTGAAAGCCAAAAGAGGTAAGTGATTAGGGAAAAAATTGACTTCCAGATTCTGCGGAGGGATTGAGAAGAATGGGGACAGAGGAGTGTTGCCCTTGGCAATATAGAGTTTGGCCTTGTCAAGCCCTGCACTGTGGAGATTGGAGTGAGCCAACTGCTCATGGGAGCTGAGAATTAGGTAAAGTGCAACTGCTCTTTTTGGTTTGCTATGAAATTGGTGGGAAGGAAATGCAGGGAGAGGAAAGGGAGAGGTGAGAGCCCGTTTGCATGCCTGTTTGTAGGACCCATGTGTCAGACAAGAAAGGTCGATATGAAGAAGAGGACCAGAAGGGAGGGGAAGGGCCCGTCCCCACAGAAGCGCCCCGCCAGGAGCACCTGCAGGCCAGACAATGGTTTTGCCTTCAGGTGCCGGAGAGTTTGCAGGAGCAGCACTGCAGAGTGTGGCAAAGACTTGGGTTTAACCAGGGTGGGGTTTTACCAGGTTAGAGATGTTGGTAAGGAAAATGTTATAATCATGAACAGGAAACTCTGCTGTGGGAGGTGGGGAAGGGGTAGAGGGGATGGTGAAAGGGTCAGAAGACTGGAGATTTGATGAACTTGAAGAATTTTGGGTTGGGGGGCACTGAAGTGAGCTGGAGAACAGGAGATGGTGATCAGAGAGTGGGTGCTTGAAGTCAAAATTGGGGAAGTAGGGAAGTTATTGGTGATGTACACAGTGCTGCAGGCAAAATGCCTGGAAAACAATAAATGCTAATAAGAATGAAAAGTATTTAATTTTAAATATGCAATATAGTCATGTAAATCGAAATTTTAAAGTGCAAGTGAGCGTAGATGAAAAATCTCCCTTTCACTCTTGTGCCCCCGTCTCACATTTAGTGCCCTGCTCTGCACCCTCATTCCACCTTTTAGTGATCTCCTTTATAAAGAGCTTTCTCATTCTTTTTTTTTTTTTTTTTGAGACAGAGGCTCAAGCTGTCCCCCTGGGTAGAGTGCCGTGGCATAGCTCACAGCAACCTCCAACTCCTGGGCTCAAGCGAGTCTCCTGCCTCTGCCTCCCAAGTTGCTGGGACCACAGGTGCCCGCCACAACACCTGGCTATTTTTTTTTCCAGTTGCAGCCATCATTGTTGTTTGGCGGCCCGGGCTGGATTTGTTCCCGCCCTCCCCAGCTGGATTTGAACCCGCCACCTTAGGTGTATGTGGCTGGTGCCTTAGCCACTTGAGCCACAGGCGCCGAGCCTCTCATTCTTTTTTTTTTAAAAAAAAAATTACTGCATTTCCAGCTTATAATGAAAGAATGCAGCTTGGGGACAGGCAGATGGAGAGACGCATTGGGCAGGCAAGACATGATGTGTGGCGCCTCCGTGCCTTCTTCCAGCAACCCGTCCAGGGGATGGCTACTTGAAAGTTCTAGCTTCCTCTTTCTCTAGGTGCTCTTTTTTAAAAAATGGATACATAGAGCTGTTTGTTGGATAGATGAATTATTTTCACTTCACTAGTTCGCACTGGTGAACCATTAGGTAATTTACAAACCTACTACTATGAAAAAAATTGCTGTATTGCTCCCAAATGACTCACAGAGGAAAAATGCTGTAATAAGTAGCCTTTACAGACAGCATTTTGCTCAAGAGTGAGCAGCTACTATTATTTAAAGGAGAAGAAAAAAGTTATATAAATATAACAATGCTCAACTTCATTAACTAGCATTCAAAGATATAAAGGGATAACAGCTCTTCTCCCACTGAATTGTCAAAGACATCTTAAACAATAGAACACTGCATGTTGATTCAGTCATGAGGAAAATGGGCACTCTCACCCATTACTTGTGGGAAAGTAAAATCATTATAAAAAGAAAAGCTTAATATCTGTTTCTGTCTTTTGGCCTAGCAACTTCACTTCCTGAGAAAACAAATATTCAGAGTTCTATGGTTCGGCACCCGTAGCACAGTGGTTATGGCACCCGCCACATGCACTGAGGCTGGGGGGTTTGAACCTGGCCCGGGCCAGCTAAACAACAATGACAACTATAACAAAAAATAGCCAGCTGTGTGGCAGGAGCCTGTAGTCCCAGCTACTTGGGGGACTGAGGCAAGAGAATCGCTTAAGCCTAAGAGTTTGAGGTTACTGTGAGCTGTAACCGCACGGCACTCTACCCAGGGTGACAGCATGAGACTCTGTCTCAGAAATAAAAAAAAAGAAAGAAAGAAAGAAAGAAAGAAAGAAATTTTAAAAAATTCAAATATTCAGTGACAGGGGATTGGTTAAATAAATTATGACACAATCACAATCCTATGACGGAATATGGCCATGTAGTTGAATGCCCAAGACCCATGCATTCTCCTCATCTTGGGCTAGATGTCCCTTTCCTGGGACAATCCCCCCACCCCAGACCCAACAGAAGAGGTTAAGACACCAAGCGCCCATTTTCACTGACTGCTCTTGTTTCCCTCTACAGCTGTGGTCCGCAAGCCCCAGGCTCGCACTGGTACCCGTCTGTGGCCTGTTAGGAAGCAGGTCCCGTAGCAGGAGTGAGCAGGGGCAAGTGGGTCAAGCTTCATCTTTTCTGACAGCTGCTCCCCATCACTCATGTAGCTGCCTCCGCTCCGCTTCCTGTCAGATCAACGGCAGCATTAGATTCTCACAGGAGCCAGAACCCTACTGTAAATTGTGCCTGGGAGGGATCTCAATTGTGGCTCCTTGTGAGACTCTAATGCCCCGTGACCTGAGCGGAGGTGGGGATGCTGGTGCCGGGGAACAGCTGCAGACACAGATCATCCTTAGCAGAGAGGCCTGACTGTGCAGAGACCATGATACGTCAACTGCCGGCAGACTCACGTCGAAACCATCCACCCTATCCATGGAAAACTGTCTTCCTTGAAACCAGTCCCTGGTGACAAAAAGGTTGGGGACCGCTGCTCTATACCCCTTAGCAACATTATAATTAATATTTGCCTGTGTAATTAGTTGTTTGATGTCTGTCTCCACACTGTATTTTAAGTTCTGTGAGGTCAGGTACAACTGGGTTTGCTTGTTTACACCACTGTTTCTCTAGTGCAGCAATTAGCATTTGCAAGTATTCCTCATTGCCTGAATCTATTTAGCGCACATATTTGCGTAGGGAGGCATACTATATTATCTAACTCTATTTGATTTCTGAGTATTTTATTTGTTTATTTATTTTTTAGTTTTTAGTTTTTGAGACAGGGTCTCTGTTGCTCCAGCTAGAGTGCACTGGCATCGTCATAGCTTACTGTAATCTCAAACTCCTGGGCTCAAGTTATCCTCCTGCCTTGGCCTCCCAAGTGGCTGGGACTACAGGTGCCCGCCACAATGCTTAGCTAACTTTTCTACTTTTGTAGAGACAGAGTCTCGCTCTTGCTCAAGCTTGTTTCAAACTCCTGGCCTTAAGCAATCCTCCCAACTCAACCTTACAAAGTACTAGGACTGTAAGTGTGAGCCACCATCCCTGGCATAACTTATGAGTTTTAGAGAGGGAGCAGTGTGGGCATTTAGATATTAAGGCATTTATCAAAAACTTGCTTCACTCTATTCTTTTCCCACAGTTCAGACATCAGGAGCGAGAGCTGGCTAGTGAAGGGCCATATGAAACCGTATTTGTGTTTGCCAGGTTCCCTGACACAGTGAGAGTTAAGATGCCAAGTATATTGAACAAAGGAATAGTGTAATTATTATAAACCACATTTTAGAAGAAAAATCAAAAAAATCTACAACATATAACGAAGTAAGAAAAGTAGATGACAATGCAGGATTTTAAAATGCCCTGAGTGCTGTGGAGAGGACCCAGGAGTGGCTCCTCACACCACTCCTCCATTGCGCTCAGCTCAGGGGCCCTGGTAATCTCAGTCACACTGGTTGGTCAAAGGTAGGCAGGACTCTGCCAGTTTGGGCTGATGAGGCATGAGGAGAACCTTCGCAGGGTCTTCTGGAAAAAACTATGGTTAAATCAATCTTTCTCATGCTGGCTGGATGGGATGCTGAACCTTTTATTTTTTTTCCTGCTACACATTGGAAATAGAAGAGTTGTCCTGGGCCACACATTAAATACACAAACACTAACAAAAGCTGATGTGCAAAAAAAGGTCCATGCCTAATGTTTAAGATATCCCACACCACAGGTAGCAGCCCATATAGCCTATGGCTAGGAGGAGTGAGAGTTATAGGAAATACCTGTAATGGAACACCTTGGTGAACAGGGCATGGAGAGAGATTTAGTTCTAACTAGCTTGAGAGAGCTCGCGAGATGAGAGCATTTGTGAATTGGCAATCTCTATACCTGTGGTGTGGAGAAGCATGAGATCAGCCTTATATTAGGCTGGAGGAGAAGGCAGTCAAAAAGCATGCGCATTCTATTACGGATCCACTTACTTTGACTCTGTCTCCTCTCCAGCCTGCAGAAAGCCAGCATGACGTCTCTCTGCTGAAGATTACCAAGCTCTGCTAAAGACTAAGATCTATCTGTTCTAAGAAGACTGCTTCACACTCTCTAAGATACTCTGTCTCTCTCTCTCTCCAGCTAAAGTAGATAGCCCTCAAGCACCTAAGAGAAACTGTGTCTGAGCAAGGTAGCTTAGTGGTCCATGTCCAGAACCTACCTAAGCTGAGCCTGAGACCTGGCCAGTCCCGGGCCCTGACAAGTGGTGTCAGAAGCAGATCCTGACAGGTAAGCAAAACAGGCCTCAAACAATCTGCACGTGGCCCATAGGCCACAGGTTGGACAGCCCTGAAACAAAGAAGCATGCATCTTAATTGCTGCTGCAGCCACAAGCAAGGGAGAAACCATTTAAAGAATGAAGCAAGCGCTATGTGGAGGAGCATGCAGAGACAGGGAGCACCTGCTTTCTGTCATCCCCAGGCATCTAGACTGCAATCCGGGGGAGTCAGCAGACGTTCTCACTGCTTCGGTTCAAATTGAACTCACATTCTTACACACAGTAGCAAAACAGTTTTTCAATGAATATTAGCTATTATTATTTAGTGAAAAATTACAAGCAATAACTCATATATAATGAGTTCAGCAGAAAGCAAAGTCTGTAGCCATTATGGAAAACAGTATGAAGGGGCCTCCAAAAATTAAAAATAAAACTACCAGCACTCTGGGAGGCTGAGGAAGGTGGATCACTTGAGCTCAACAGTTCAAGACCGACTTGAGCAAGAGGGAGACCTCACCTCTACTAAAAATGAAAAACTGAGGCAACAGGATGTTTGCTGTGAGCTATGATGCCATGGTCCTCTACCAAGGATGACAAAGTTAGATTCTGTCTCAAAAAAGAAAACAACGAAAACTACTATATGAGCCAGCAATCTCAATTCTGGATATATATCCAAATGAAATAAAATCACTACTTTGAAGAGATACACATTCCCGTGTCCACTGCAGTATTATTCACGATAGCCAAAGTATAGAAACAATCTCAGTTGTCAGTCAACAGATGAATAAAACAAATGTGGTACACACACACACACGCACACACACACACACACACAGAGGCATATTATTCAGTTGTAAAAAGGAAGGAAATCCTGCCATTTGTAACAACACAGATGAAACTGGAGGACATTATGGGAAGTAATATAAGCCAGAGACAGAAAGACAAATACTGCACGATCTCACTTACATGTGGAACCTTCCAGAGTTGAGCTCACAGAAGCAGAGAGTAGAACAGTGGTTACTAGAACTGAGGGGTGGGTAAGTGGGAAGATCTTGGCCAAAGGGTACAAACTTTCCATGAAAACATGAGTAAGTTCTGGACACCTAATATATAGCATGAAATTTACTAAGGGAGTACATCTAAGTGTTCTGACCACACACACAGAAAGTGACCTTTGAGGTCATGGAGATGTTAATGAACTTGATTGCAGTAATCATTTCTTGATGTGTGTGCATATCAGAATATTGTGTTTGTGGGGTAACCCCCCACAAAAATTAAATGAAACATGCTCTTTTAATTCCAGAAACTGAGTGAAAAGACTTGTGAGTATTATGTGCTTTTGTTGAAGCCCTAAGCGACCTGGGAAAACACAGTGGGGGCCTGCAGGCCAGGCATAAAAACCTCCTACAGGGAGCCCTGACTGTGCTGTCAAGTCAGCCTGTCAGATAAGGGTGCAGGGGACTTGACTCAAAGGTTGATGTGAGTAAAAAGAAAAAATCCATCGTAATGATGTGAGTAAAATACTCCATCGTAACTGCAGGGTCTCCAAAACCATAAAAAAACAGTTATGAAGCCAGTTTCTCAGAAATTTAATTGAGTACATAGAAGAGAAAGGTTTTACTCCTTTGTTTATCCTAACCTTTAACTTTAACAATGGAAGTCAGATAATGTATTGTTCTTTTAGATCTTCCACGAGGAATAGCCTGAGGCTAGCTTAAGATGGTTGTCTTACTTTCCCAGACTTTCTTTCTTTAGGCTAATCTTATGAGGGCTATCTCACATTCCTGGACTTTCTTTCTTTTCTATAGTTTAAGATAAGAACTGAGGATGTTAGGATTACTGATCAATGTGGTGTATATGACTAGCTCCCAATAAAGGGAGTGGAAAATAAAGACATTTTGCTACGTGCCACCTAAGAGTATGTAGTCGTTTCTTGCTTTTAAACAATTCTAGGAGCAAACATGCACCCGTGGCCAAGCCATCCTTCTCTCCCTGCGAGAAAGAACATCACCTAACATGTGTTGTACACCTTGAATTTATTTGATTTTTACTTGTCAATCATATTTCAGTTTAACTGGGGAAGGAAGGCAAATTCTACATATCCATATAGAAAAAGCTAGAAAGTTATTATGAAAACATTAACTGTGGTAACTTCTGATACCTCTGGGTGGTGAGGACTGGGAGAGCAGTTGAGGTAAGAGGAGAAGGTACTAAGTGGTCATCTCATCAAGAACCAGGAGGGTAGATTAATAGGATTGCTAAGCGGAGCTGAGGCCCCTTCAGATTCAAACTTAGGGAATTCTCAGTGGTTGCAGATTTAAAATGGTTTTAGAAACAAGCCCTAAAAGAGAGTCTGATCTGAAATTGGGTAAAGTCTTCCTGAACTAAAAAGCAAAACAAAGGGAAACATCTGATTTTAGGTGTTAAGAAGTCAAATGCCAAAGAATATGAAAGAAAGTGGGGGAAACAGCCTAATTTACAGTTCTCTTTTAATATGGAGATAACTCTGTGAAGTTCAATACCAAACCATCAGGCCACAGAAAGCAACAGCACTAGTAGCAGATTTTTAGAGCAGTGTTTTAAATGCATTTTCAACTACAACCTTCAGTAAGAAATGCACTTTACATTGTGATATTCTACCAGGGTGTTCTGGATCCAGGTTGTATGAGCTGTGAGATGAGAATAGATTTTCACATTTTTATAAATATTGTGAGCTAGCTATTAAATAATCATGATTAAAAATTAGATTATGGGGATGATGCCTGTGGATCAAAGGAGTAGGGCACCGGCCCCATATACCAGAGGTGGCGGTTCAAACCCACCACCAAAAAAAATGGTGGCCAAAAACTGCAAAAAAAAAAAAAATTAGATTATGGAAATATAAAATTAAATTAATTGCATTAAAATAAAGATAATAAGTATTTACAATTCATCACTTCCTAAATATTTTTACCACATTTTCCTGTTTTTGAGACAGGGTCTCAAGTGACCATTTACAGGCACAATTATAATAAAAAACAGCCTTGAACGCCTGGCCTCAAGCAATCCTCTTATATCAGCCTTTCAAGTAGCTGGGACTACGGTACATTTTACTATCATCTCTGTTCTTGAAGTTATGTCTCTTATATCTGTGTAGTAAAAAATATACATAACATTGTGTTACTGCATATATCTTTCTGACTCTGAATATTGTGATATCACACTATTAGTTTGAAGTAACCCTAGTGGGAATATTTACACCATGAAAATTAGCAAACACTACCAAATTGGGCTTGATTTATTGTTTTGTTGATACTCTATCATGAAAGTGATGGAGAAAATATTTTAAATGCAGATTAAATTTAAAAGTGTCTATTGCTAAGTGTAGATTGTGAATTGTATACACAAAAAATCAAAGACCAGGCCTAGTGGCTCACACCTGTATTTCTGCCACCTTGGGAAGTCAATGCTGGAAGATCTCCTGATACTTGGAGTTCAAGACCTGCATGGACCACATAGTGAGACTCTCTACTCTACAAAAAATTTGAAATATAATTTTAAAACTGAGGAAATATTCTTCTAGTATTTGAAAATTACTATCTGGTTCAACAAAGATTCACTCATGTCATTGATAAAGTAGTGAAGTTCCAACATGTCTTCAGTGTTTCACTCTAATCTTATTAATGTAAATGAAAATATTAATTAATATTCATGCTAGAACACGGTCACTCATCAACAATGTGAGGGATTTCTTTGCTGAATCAGATAGGTATCAAGCATTTATTTATAGCATTGTTTGTCAAATTAAAGTTGAATTGTAAGAACAGTTTGGCTATGGATACAAAAGTTTGGCAAAAATCAATGAAAGCACTTTTTCAGAATCAACTGGCTGTATGAAATTTATAATGAGTATTGTGCATTTGTTACTATTTGTAAATTTTGAGCTATACATCCTTTATGTCAGTAAAATTTATTATAATTTATGTAAATAT